TTTTTTTTTAATGTTTTTACTCACTTTCCAAACCCGTTGCATCCTCTAATGATTCCAATTGATAGCAGAAAAAATGGGATAACAATTAATTTCATATTTTAAATACATATAAGCTATAGGATCAGACGAACTTTCTACACATTAACTATGACATGTCTGTGTTTAAAGATCTCCTCTATATATTACTTTTACGATTTGTTAGCATATCATACTACTGTACAACTCACCTGTATTTCCTTTCATTTCATTTTCCAAAGTGCCCTCTGCATCACCAAGCGGCAAATCAATAAATTCACTAGCCACTATATTTGCTAGCGACTCCTGGCGTACCCAGCGTATTTTGCTCTGTTGCACTGCCAAAATAGCTTCATCTTCGGTACCCAACACATATAGGCATCCTTTACCATGTGACATGCAGGCGAAAGTTTTCAACGTCGGCGTGCCATAGTAATCTGGATAATCCATATTAATTGTCATCTCTGGCACTGGTTCACAGCTATCAACATAGTGCCCTCGTATTTGCAAAACCTTCAAGTATTTTCAATTTAGTTCTGATTTTACTATGCATTTATTTTTTATCAAACTCACATTATTTACTACATCTGCCAGCGCTAAAACGCGACGTTGCTGAAACTTTCCCAACAAGAAACTATTACTTTTGTAATTATTACAAACAGCTGTGGCTTCGTGTATGCTAACTAATGTGTTATCAATTACATAAGCGCCGCTTATTCCCTGCAAGAAGAAATGTTTATAAATCAGCGCATTTAGAAAAAAAGTAATGCCAACCTCTACAGCGCGCAATTTGTTCTTCGGTACTTCTGCTAGTGTCTTTCTCAACACCTGCGGCTGATTTGCTGTTAAATCAATTCCGATTAACTGATTTCCTTCCAGACAGCTATAGTAACCACCGCTCAATACACATTTGTCCGCAGTAATCCACGCAGCGGATATACGACCAGTGGTTTCCGTCGCATGACCAGAAGTAGCAAAATATGGAGTTACTTCAATATGACTACGCCATGTCGGCATTACATGATACAGTAAACCGTTTTTATAGAACCAAAATGCTGACTCCGCACGCTCCGTTTGCAGTGGCATCAACGACCACTCCCATTCCAAGTTACCGCTAGCCACATTCCAACCACGCACTAACGCAGGCGCATGCCCTTGCACGGTGAATACATCGAATCCATGCTTTGAATTTGTGGGAGCTGCAGCGGTACTCTCTGCGTCGTTTATATTAGCCGCAACTGTTCCAACTTGCATTAATTTTAGCTCACCGCGCGGTGAATTCTCAAGCACTTGTCGCCACAACATTTTTCCCGTTTTCGGCTCCAATACTGCGACAACATTTTCTTGCGTACTAACCAACAAACGTGGACTAAGGGAATTTAGTTCCAAGTGTGCTTGCCTGACTGCGCCAATGTGCTGAACTCTCCTATTATAATTAGTATGCATGAAGTGTGACAATGGGACATTTGGATTATGCTGACGTGTTCCTTGCACTTACCAATCGAATTTCTTTATTTGATCCTCATATAGACCATTGACACAAGTGGAAACCAACAACAAAGATGTCACAATTAGGACTCCGTTCCAAATAAAGCTCCGCGTACGCATTGTGTAGATGCTGAGCGATGTGCCTTTGACTTGTAAACTGAAAGCCCAAGGGATTCTTTTATTTACACTCAATAAAATATGAATTTATTCTATTTTTTATTAATAATTAATTTAGAATCATCACCGGCCAAAGCAAAGTGCAAAAGAAAAAAATTAATAAGCCCAAGAGAAAAAATCGAGTGACTGTCAAACTTTTAGTGGCTTCTTCTTCTAAGTTATATTGTGAATACGCAAAGGGCTGCCAGGGGCTGTAAACATGAACCAAAAATACATGATCACGCAAAAAGGCGACGTCGTACTCGTAGCGGGTTTTGAGAAAAAAGTTTATGAAAGCCGATTCGGACAAATGCTTAGTTAACGAACTGGCTTTCATAAACTTTCATAAACATCATAACAGGGGCGTGCCTTCTCTTTTGCCATCGGTGTAGCCAGAATGAAATTTAGGGGGGGGAGCTCGACCCTATTAAGCTGGCATTTCAGGGTACTATTTTATATATATATAAGGAAAATTTGAAAGTTAAGGGGGAGGTTGAGCACCCCCCGGCCCTACCTGGCTAGGCCCATGATTCAATAATACAAGGTTCGATAAACTGACAGTTGTCTCTCTCGCACCGCTCTCTTAGCAGTGGCACCGTGTTGCTTCTTTGCAATTTTACATGGAAACAGTGTAGCTTTGGTGTGAAATAAAAGTATAAGCTTTTGTGCAATATCTGTATTTGTATATGCATATGAAGCATATTTAACATATGCATTGGATGTTTACATCAGTCTCATAGTAGTCTTATTTAAATTTTGAGTCATTTTGCAGTTTTTATACGGCTAAATAGCATATAAATTACGTAATTCACGTAGATATATCAATATTACGTTCAACATTTCGTTTAAAATGCCAGATTTCCTGCAAATACATTAGAATTTACGAAAGGAATTTCACTACTAATTGCCTACTTTGCGTACTTTTCTACTACCATTTTCGAAACAAGGGATTGCATTCTTGCCCTTTCTCTGTCCTCCGTAAATGCAACCTTTTGTAAGGGAGTGTCAAACCGCAGCTGTCAATAATTATCTAACCTTGTATTATTGAATCATGGCTACGCCCATGTCTTTTGCCCTAGTGCGTTTTTTGATTGGATGAAAAGAGAAGGCACGTTCCTGTTGATCACTTTCGCCACAATTATAACGAGTTGTCCCTTCTTGTTATCTACGTTCTTTGCTACTGATATGTTTAAAACGTAATATATTAAATGCACGGCAACTTTCATTAGTAAAAAAGCAGTGCCAAATTATTTCTTTGGCGTTCATTGAGGAATACCTTTTGCGTTTTGCGCTTTGATGGCAAAGTTATAAATGTTACGCAAAGCCATAAAGCTGATGCCAGATAAAACGATGTGGCTCTGCGTGACATTTATAACTTTGATAGCAAAGCGCCAGACGCAAAAGGTATGCCACAATAAACCCCAAGAAAACAATTTGGTACTGCTTTTTTACTCGTCAAAATTGCTTTGGATTTTATATATTAAACCGGCTGATTGTCAAAGCGCCAAAGAGATGGGAGTTGGCCATCTTTTCGCTTCGCGCTGTAGCTTCAACGATCTATGTGGCATGCTTTGTGCATTGTCATACAATTCATCTTATCTGTCACGTAAAGCGAAGCAAAAGCTTTATGTGGCATCAGCTTAAGGTTTTATCTGGCATCGGCTTTAACGTCGTACTTCAATTCATTGCAACTCTGACGCAATAACTATTGAAACTGACATCGTAAAAGAAGAAGAGCATAAATAAAAATATAAAAATTTTCTGGAGAATATTTGCAGACATATTTGAAAATATAGTTTTAAAATGATCGAAAAGAAAACAGAGAAGACAAAACATGAAACAAAGCCGCGGGACGACGGCGTTGATTTGGAAAACCAATTTATACTTCGATTACCAGAGGTTAGTACATAAATATGTACATACTTACATACATATGTATGAGTCTATCTGGGGAGATTCTAGAAAAAAATTGTTTCCACTATTCAGGAGCCCGCTAAAGCGCTGCACGAAGCACTACAAACAGGAACTCTTAAGGATCGGATGACTATCAAATTGGATAATGAGCTACGTTATGGCGAGTTGCGTTTTGATCAATGGTTATTGCATGCGAAAGTTTTAGATTTGCCGACCATTATTGAGTGCCTCAAAACCATAGATAGCAAAAACTTTTACAAATCTGCAGATATTTGTCAAATAGTAAGGCAATGTGAATCTAAAATAGTTTTAAAATTTTACACATCTTTCATCTTGTATACAGATGATTTGCAAAGAAGAACCCGACGCATTAGATCCAGAAAAAGAATCGCCAAACAAGGGCAAAAAGAAGGATCCTAATAAGGTAGACAAGAAATACTTGTGGCCTCATGGCATTACGCCACCATGCAAAAATGTGCGAAAGCGCCGCTTCCGTAAAACATTGAAAAAGAAAAACGTCGAAGCACCCGAAATTGAGAAAGAAGTGAAACGTCTATTACGGATCGATAATGATGCCGTAAAAGTAGACTTTGAAATCATTAATGAAGATTTAGACAAGAGGTCTTTAGAGCAACAATCCAAGGAATATAACGAAGGCGAGGAAGAATACAATGATGAGACTATGCATGGGGGTGATAAGAATAACGATTCTTCTTCACAAAAAGACATCAATGTAGAATCAGATGGTGACGATGAAGATGCACCATCTCGTTCAGCGCCCATTGGTGGTGTTGGTGAGCATGATATTTTCGGTGAAGAAGTGTCTTCGTCCGATGACGATGAAGATATGCGGCGTGACACTTCACGCTTGCGAGACCTTGAGGATATTTCCAGGTTATCAGCGGATGACTCGCGCATGTCTGATTTTTCGATGGGAGGAAATGGGGCCGGCGATGTTGCCGGTACGTCAACCAATCTAATGGGTGCATCTGGCATCGAAAATGCTAATAGCATGAACAGTTTAAAAGATAACGCAACCGAATTCGACAAATCCATGTTTGGCAGTCCAAAAGCCGATGCGGATGATATGGTCTCAAAATTTAGCGGCTCTAATTCGAACTTGGCAGCACCGAGTGGCTATTATGAAGAGCAAAAACGTAATGATTATGAAGATGATTATTCAAGTGAAACCAATACCACAACACCACATATTAATGCCGAACAAATTCAAAGCAGAGTAGCCGAATTGCGTAGACAATATGAAGATTTGAAAACGCAGCATACACAAAAGGCCCAAGAGATTTCATCTATACAGAATCCAACATTGAAGCAACGTTTGCAAGAGACCCTAGATAATTTACAAAATCAAATGGACGATAAAGAAGCTGAAATTAAGGATTATGAGAATATTCTGTAGGAAACATAGTCGTAGTAGCGACTACTGGTTAAATATGAATAAAACTTGCAACTTCCAAAATTAATTAACAATACAATTTAAGGCTGAATTCTGTGGCTAATTTCATCACGAAAGATACGAACTCGAACTCGCCAGGAATGGAAGCCGTTTTTCTTTTTATCTTGCCTCACTTGGAAGGGGTGTCTAAAACTGAGTGTATTTTCTGTTGCAGAAGAGGTATGCTTACAAAAAATATCAATTCGAAAGCCAATAAAACTATCTACTGGGTAATGAAAATAGTTGTTGCATTTTTTTTTTATCAGACACTTAAAAATAATAGGGGTATTCACGATCCGATGCATACTGTCTAGCATGGAGCATACATAGATAGCATGATTGGCTAATTTTGTTGTTGTTTGAACACATGAAATAACAACAATCATGCTATTTATGCTATCTATGCACCGTGCTAGACCATATGCACAGGATCGTGAATACCCCTAATATTTCTAGTTTGTGCAAACCAAATTGCATACCTTTAGTAAGGGCATAATCACCTAGTTTTTGTTTTTTGATTGCAATGCGAAATTCGCCTTGGAAATGCCGAATTACGTTAAAATTAAAAAAAAAAATCCTAAAAAGGCCATGGGGCCTGACCGCATATGAGAGACGAACCTGAGACGCACCCAACTATCCCAAATTTACACTACAATTGCAATACCAACTTGCGCAAACCAGGTAGAATATTTATAAAACACCGAATAACATCTCTGTGTTAAAAATAGTTTGGTTCTCTTTGCAATCAGCTGTTTTCTAAATAGCTTGTCAAATTTTTCTTTTTTCATCCTTTTACGTTCGATATGGCTGTGGCTTTGCGTTTCGGGTTAAATTTATTAAAAATTAACAGAAATTCTGTACAAAGTCTTAACCGAATTGTGGATAGCTATGCAGCACAAATAGTAATTATAAAATCCACTCGGATTCCGCGCGTTCAACGCATGGAACCCGCGAATTGTACTTACCTAACCTTCATCTGTTTTGCAGCAACCAAGCAGTGGATATGGCACCGAGGTGACCGTAGAAGCTGCACCTTTAGCGATAAAGAAACAAAAAGTTAGCAATGCCATGAAAGCCTACCTCGAACGTGCGCGAGAAAATGATGAATTCATGAAAACACAAAA